ACAAAGAAAGCAAAGCGTGACACACTTAACGGATTTAAGCCAATGGGTGGCAGAACAGTGACTGTGAGAAATAACAAAATGTCAAAACTTATTGAGAGCAACAAAGGATAGGAAGAAGTGGAGAGTCATGATCCCCTACATACTGAAGGATAACGACATGTGATAGAAGACAACAATGATAGACATATCATTAATAATAAAGTGAGGATAAACAAAGTATTTAATCATAATTAAGTAATCCATCGAGTCTAGAAGAAACCTCAACAGAATGCAGAAAGCACTGGACGGTCGTTCCGTCGTATATTTGGGACTCATCAGCAGTGTGCATCCATTACCGAGAATTGAAACCTGAACAGTTACGATATGAGGCAAACACCATACCAACTGCGCCAACGAGCCTCGGTGTCGAAGAGGTAACGAATTAGACTCAAAATAGCGCCGCTCGATCATATATTCCGTGGTAGAACTCATCCGAGTTTCTCTTTTACCCATAGGACTGTGCCTCCATGAGCCACGACTACTATCACCAAACCGCTCAGTCCAGAGAATTAAAGGCCGGTTCAAGCAAGGATATACAAGTGATAGAAATTGTTAGAAGGATCCGCCTTTCAAAGTGGTTCCTGAGGGTGTGAGATAATCTCCAAAATTGAAATATCTTACGATTCGTAAGATATTTCATTTTATTATTTTAATCTTTCTAATCATATTCATATCTTTTTTTTTTAGTATTCATTTTGATCTCATTTAAGGATTCGGTTCGTTGCGTACAGGAGAGACTTATTTGCTTTATAATTATTATGTAGCTATTCATACGCATCTAGATTATGGCTTCTTATGTAAATGCCGACAAACCAGTATCAATGCGTTAAAACAAACTAAATAAATAAATGGAACATGTACAAGTGACAGGAGCTCGACCATGTAAAAACATTGTATCATCAGAAACTCTCGTAGTAAACAAAAGGAAGGACACTCTTCTACTTTTAAATCCGTTCCAAGTTATCGAAGCAAAAAGACTAGATCTGATCGTCGTAAACATGGAAAAGAAGACCTGATCACATGTTGATTCAAAAAAGGTATAAAATGGAAGTATATCAGAATCTTACCTGAAAAATGAGAAAATTTGGAGAATATAAAAGTTAGGCTCGTAGTTATAATAATGCACACGGAATCAGGTAAAAACGATCAAAGCGAGATGAGATGCAACAAAAATTCAAAGAATTTGCGAAAGTCTTTGAAGAAACTGGAGATTTTAGATTTGCTATCAGTCGATCTCTAACATTAACCACAAGACATAATGATAATTATCAAGAAGAAAAAAACTGAGTATAAATGCATTATCTTCCTTATTTATTTTTAATTTTATTATTTGGTTATAACAACACATCTAAGTGTACTATAAATGAATAGATGAAATCATTCATATAAACGTAATCATTTGTAGTTTTCCTGAGATCAATCCTCGACGATTCTTAACTGTTATCAAGTGTATACTTAGTGTACCGGTGGCAATCGGTACTATTCTCTTCACTTCATTCAACATTCGTTTGGGATCGTAATATCAACGAAAACTAAAAGACTCTTTTATATTTATCGTAGATTGTGTTGGAAAGTTTTGGGGTCAAAATCATTGTCTGTGTTGATTGCCATGCTGTATTATTATTTTTTTATTCAAATTTATTTATTTATTTTTTTTATTTGGTTTACTTAATTTATTTTCTTATTATTTATATTTATTAATTATTTAATTTATTTTTATTTTATTTTTACTCATTTAGAATTTACCAAAGATGGCGATCAAGTCATTTCCTTTTTATAATTTATATTATAATTATTTGCAAATAAAGAAGCTTTATTTGTACTGTGACACTATGTATAGTTACGTAGATTAAAAAGTTGAGATTTTATCGTGATCTGTAATATTATCTGTTTTATGGCTAGCGGTTTTTTTTTTTTTTTTTTTTTTGTTCTGGTTTCCTAAGCGGTATCCACTTTGAGTGAAGGGAAACGGAAGAATAAATGAGTCAATGGGGGCTTTTGGGTACTAAGTAACAACAAAATTGGAAATAGCACGTATCCGGGTACTGGTCTATATTAACAATAGGAGGGTCAGTTTTGGTCCCTCTCTTGGTGGGAGACAGACTTGTACGTCGCATGGTTCTGATGCCAAATTGCCAGCCACACGTCGGGATGTATAGATGGGCAAGGAGTTGGCAGTAGGGAAAGCTATGAGATCGACATAATAGAAGATGTCCCCAGAATCACGTATCTAGTCATCTAGCCGAAGCCATGAATAAAACGTAAAAATATAATACTAGAAATAGGCTTCTCGTTCTCACTTCACGTTTGCTTTTAATCTTCGTTACCTTGTCTACATGTAGCTGACCCTTTCCCATGTTTCAGTTTACATTAATGTGAACGAGAACTTAATGCAATGTCGACAAATCTATGGCCAGTCAGTGGAAAACTTCGGCGAGAATCGAGTTGTTGTTTACAATACTCTTACTAATTCCTCATCAGCAGGAGTTAAATATTACATGAATTTAAATGTGCATGATTAAAATTTAGCAAAAATAGTTTTTTTTGCAATAAAGTATGGAATTTTTCATGATAGAAGACAAAAAAAATTAAAAAATATTAATAATGTTTGTATAAAACAATAATAATAATAATAGCCGCGAAATAATATCTGTCTCTATTTCTGAGATGAGGTATTGTAACTATTCACACTATTTACATTGTTCGGACTGTGGTCCTCATCTTTATTGCCATATTCACCTTCAACATCTGTCTCTATTTCTGAGATGAGGTATTGTAACTATTTACACTATTTACAATGTTCGGACTGTTGTCCTCATCTTTATTGCCATATTCACCTTCAACATCTGTCTCTATTTCTCAGATGAGGTATTGTAACTATTTACACTATTTACATTGTTCGGACTGTGGTCCTCATCTTCATTGCCATTCACCTCCAACATCTGTCTCTATTTCTGAGATGAGATATTGTAACTATTTACACTATTTACATATTTCGGACTGTTGTCCTCATCTTTATTGTCAAGTAGCAGCATGGCCCGGCGTTGCCCATGCTTATTCAAAAATCGTACGTCTCATACAGCAATCGCTATCGCTTGACTTAAAATATTTTTGCCCTTCCTTGCCTTTAAAGGAGTGCCCTTTGCCGTGCTGATGTTGCTACATGCCTTACTTCTTGCCTATCTCGCACTGCGAATTTTTTCTAAACTCTATACTAAACATTAAATCTGTTACGAAAAAAGAACTAAACAAAATGAACACAAAACGATCAGCTTTAAAAAAGGACTCGTAACTGGAAAAACCGAATGAAAAAAGAATGTTAACAACAAATACTTTTTCACACCCAACCCAGTTCTGCGGAATCAGAATCAACGCTGAGTTTAAGCAAGCGAATGAACCAATTGGAGTAAAGTGCCATGCAGATTTGAATTTTTCCCACTTGTGACGAATGCAGCTATCGATTTTTTTTTTTTTTTTGCATGCTAACATGCTAGTTAACATTCGTGTCAGTCAGCTATTAGCTTTCGCTCTGGCCGGTGCAAAATGGCCGCAAACTACATGAAAACTGCCGTAGAAGCATGACAAAATCGATGGGAGTTGGGAAATGCAAAGTCGGTCTTGGCCTTCCCGCTAACTTGGAGCATGTGCATGTAAATTTTGGTGCAAATCCGTAGAAAATTGCGGCTGTGCATTCGTTATACACACACACACACACACACACACACACACACACACACACACACACACACACACACACACACACACACACACACATCCTGCCTTTTATAGATAGAGATTCCCGACACATTATCCAGTGGTCAAAAGTGTTGATTGTAGTAATCCAGTGATTTGACCCAAAGAGTTGTGAATTCAATACCTGGCTACAGCAGAGGTGAAAAACATTGGAGAGCTGAGTTACAAAATGAAATGAACTAAAACTAAAATATCCAGCTGGCACATGGAACCAGAACAAACTACCCCAGTGTACTAAAGAAATATTCGAAATTCCAACGTATATTAAATGAAGAAGGTCGGAGTGTACAACGACCGAAACATCGTGAATATGACAATAAAGGTGATTACAACAGTCCGAACAATGTAAACAGTTAATAGTGAACTAACATGTTTATTTTGTTACAAAAAACTTATCGAAATAAAAGTGTGATTATCTCAAAGTATAATTAATTTAAGTGGTAATTAGTAAATTTCCTATTTCACTCTTGATATGATTTTATTTTCATTTTTTTTAACAAAGATATAAACAAATGTAGTAAAGTCGTATCAGGATTATCGCGGTGGGTGCAAATACTGTCCCCTTACTATTAAGCTGAGAATTGAACTGGAAATTACTTTATTCTTCAATGTAAAACATTTTAACGGTAATATTCTAGGAAAAAATGTCTTTGCGATGTGACGTTTTTCTGTGTTACGATAACAAATACATCCGGGCAAATCAGATCACAATAATTTATAATGGTTTCTTTTTATTTTTTATTTATATTCATTTTTATTTTTTACTTATATTTGTTTATTTTTATATTTACAATTTAATTATATTCGTTTTTAATTTTCGTTGTTTACTTTTAGTAATTTTTTTGTATGCATTTATATTTTTATTTATTTTTATTTATTTTTATTTATTTTTATCTATTCATTTGTTTATTGCTAGGTCCATGGCTTTTTATGCAGTAGTCTGTCAAAGATGGTCGTTAACTCGAAACTTGATTGTGCCCAATGTTCCCGTGGAAACTGTTACTGTTCTCCTTCCTGCGTTCCTCATTCATCGCGGATCGCAATATCAGTGAGAACTCAAATCTTTGTCTTCTTCTTCTTATAGATTAAGATGAATAGTTTGGTGGCCGATATAGCCGTCTCTTTGCTGATTGTCATGCTTTCGTTCGTTCGTTTCTTTTTTCTTTATTTCTTCGTCTTTATTTATCTTTCTATTTATTTATTCTTAGGTCCATGGCTATTTACGCAGCAGTTTGGAACGTCTCAACGCATCGCCTGTACGGAGACCGGAAAGAAGTTGTTCTATGTCCACCCAATTCACGATGGTCAGCAACAAGTCGTCTCTCCCTCGGAATGGGCACTCGGGTGGTACGAGGATGACACTGAATAGTAGTTATCCGCCGCGAACTGGAAGTGGACAGAACTATATTCCATTGGACACGATACAGAAAAACATGGACACTTCACTAGTGGACAACAGGGGGCACAATAGCGTCGTTTGAAGGGTTTCGACGACAGGATATATATTTAAATGAAGAGAAGGGATGTAAGGGGCAATATCAAAGAAAGGAAGAGAAATGTGAAGAAGGGGGCGAAAAAAGGCAACGAAGGAAAGAAAAGAAGAGGCAGAGAAAGTAATAATGGAGAAAGGGAGAGTAAAATAAATAAAAAAGACGGTATTAGGGAGAAAGGGTCGAATGGAAGAAAAATGAAAGGAAAAGAGAGACGGATGGAAGAAAAATAAAGAGGAAAAGAATAAAGAACAGAAAAAAAAGAAGAGAAAGGAAGAGAGATAGAGAAAGGAAGAGAGATAGAGAAAGGAAGAGATATGAACTGGTAACGGAAGAGAAGTTAGAAAACGAGAACAAATAAAATCATTCATGAGATTTGAATGATTTCGATCCAAATCCAAATTTAAAGCTTAGCTCATAAATATCGGATTCGCTCAATTATAGATAGATAGATAGATAGATAGATAGATAGATATGAAGAGGCTGAGATAGATAAATAGATAGATATCAAGAGGCTTAGATAGATAGATAAATAGATAGATAGATATATAGATAGATATGAAGAGGCTGATATAGATAGATAGATAGATAGATAGATAGATAGATAGATAGATAGATATGAAGAGGTTGAGATAGATAGATAGATAGATAGATAGATAGATAGATAGATAGATAGATAGATATGAAGAGGCTGATATAGATAGATAGATAGATAGATAGATAGATAGATATGAAAAGGTTGAGATAGATAGATAGATAGATAGATAGATAGATAGATAGATAGATAGATATGAAGAGGCTGAGATAGATAAATAGATAGATATCAAGAGGCTTAGATAGATAGATAGATAGATAGATAGATAGATAGATAGATAGATAGATATGAAGAGGTTGAGATAGATAGATAGATAGATAGATAGATAGATAGATAGATAGATAGATATGAAGAGGCTGAGATAGATAAATAGATAAATATCAAGAGGCTTAGATAGGTAGATAGATAGATAGATAGATAGATAGATAGATAGATAGATATGAAGAGGTTGAGATAGATAGATAGATAGATAGATAGATAGATAGATAGATAGATATGAAGAGGTTGAGATAGATAGATAGATAGATAGATAGATAGATAGATAGATAGATAGATAGATAGATAGATAGATAATGAACAGACTGATATAGATTGATCCTTGGGACGTTTCAAAAGTAATGCTTTCTATGTATTGCCACGACATAACATAGGGAAATATAATAATACGTTTTCGGCTAAAAAACACATTGTACTTTTTCACGGAAACGATAAAATCACCAGGAAAATGTTTTTATCCATCTACAGTGAGGGGAAACAAATATTCGTACACATGCAAATTTTTAATTTATTGTATTTCCAACTAATGAATAAACATACTTTTTATATAATTAACTGTACAAAGATACATAATAACTAAATATGTATAGAAAACAGAAAAAATGATATAATAGAAATAAATTTAATTTTAATAGGTGAAAAAAGTATTCGTACAATGCAAAACAGAATACATAATCTTCATTTAATACTTTGTAGAATAGCCATTATTCACTTCTACAGCAACCAACCTCTTCTTGTAGTTCTCAATTACTGATTTGCATATTTTATATGATATTTTGTTCTATTCGTTTTCGGATATGGTCTTCAGATCCTGGATGTTTGCTGGAGATCTCGATTGGATTTGAATTTTCAAATAAAACCACAGATTTTCGATTGGGTTTAAACCTGGGGACTGACTTTTCAGGATATTTACATTATTTTCAGCAAGCCATTTCTTCGTAGATTTTGCAGTGTTCTTCGGATCATTATCTTGGAAGAACCAGTCAGGAGAAAGTTCAAAATTTTCAACCGAAATCATTAAATTTGCTTCCAAAATATTTTGATATGCTACGGCATTCATTCTATCATCTATTACTGATATGTTGCCAGTACCTTTTGCAGAAAAACATCCCCAAACTATAATGCTGCCAAAACTAAATTTCACTGTTGGTATAGTGTTCTTTTGTTTGAAGGCATCTTTCATCCATACATGATTTTGAGAATTACGTCCAAAAAACTAAATTTTGGTTTCGTCTGTCCATAATACTCTCTCCCAATACGATTTTTCCTTATCTTTATGTTCACGAACGAATTTCAAATTGACATCTCTGTGTCTTTTCAAAAGACTTTTTTCCAAAGATTTTTTTACGAGCGAAGCGTGATTTTAGATTGTTCCTATAAATTTCATTGCTTATTGTCCATTTAGTGACACAGATTCCTGATGAAAGCAAATCATCCTGCACCTCTTGACGAGTAGCCATCGCATTTTGTTCAATTTGACGCATTAATTTCCTCGAAGATCTTGCAGAATTCTTTCGTTGAGCACATGTTCTTACTTGGTTTTCAACAGTTTTAAGATTTTTTATACCCTGCAATGAATGAGCTAATGGTAGTAAATGGAATATTCGGGTTGTCTGAGATTTTCCTATAACTTTTATCTTCTTTCCAGAGCTTAACAATCAGTACTTTTTGCAAATTTGCCAATTCTTTACCTCTTGCCACGATGAAAACCTTCTTGTACGAATATCAATTACAGAATGTTCTGTTTGTATTTTTTAGCCTAAAAATAACTACTGATAACATTATTGGAGCATTATAGAATATTCCTCTTGAATAATGTAGAGTATTAAAGCAATTTAAGTCTGAAATTTGCATTGTACGAATACTTTTTTCAACCATTATTTCTTTTAAATCAATTTTTCTGTTTTCTGTTAATATTCATCTCTGTACACTTAATTATATAATAAGTATGTTTATTGGAAATACAAAAAATTAAATATTTTGCGTAGGAATATTTGTCCCCCCCCCATATAAATGTAATATTTTATGCATACCTTTTTGGTAACTCCTGAAACGCATTAACCATTTCCCAAATGTGCACGCGTCGTCCACTTTCTTGTATCCGTAAATATTCGGCAGCTGGTGAAATGTCAGTGGGTGAAATTTGTTTCATGTGCTTGAATCCAATGATACACCTGTCTTCGTATGCACAGATGCGCAAACTCGGAGAGACAGACAAATACATTTTGGGAAGTAGATACAAACAGATAGGTATGTAAAAACTGGGGCAGACATATTAACAGGCATGCAGTCACTTAAATAAGGGTAGTGTGATACAGAACAGTGATAAATATAGATATAGATAGAAAAGCAAATAAATATGCACATACTGAGACAGACAGAAAAATAAAGTTAATTTAAAAATGAATGTCAGACAAATGCAGAAATATAAATATTATCAAATTGCGACAGACAGAAAAATATATACAGGCTGTCCATAATGTTAGTGTGCACTTTGAAAAATTTATAACTTTATTTGTATTTGCGATAGAAATAATTTGTAAAAAAATGTTATAAAGTTTAATGTACCTAGTTTTAAGTATAGCTAAAATAACTAATGTGATTTCAGACATTACTGTAAATCAGTTGGCAAATGTTTTCCGTGAACTGCAAAATCGTATTACCCTTTTTAGTGCTAATGATGGAGGACATGTGGAAACTTTGCCCTATACATTGAGTTCTACCAATATGGACGCTTTCCGGGAATAAATATATATGAACAATTCTCCGTTTATCGAAATGTATCTGAACAATTCTCCGTTTATATAAACATACAGGGAGCTCATAAAGTTCGTGTGCACTTTAAAAAATTTATAACTTTATTTGTATTTGCGATAGAAATAATCTGTAAAAAATGTTATAAAGTTTAATGTACCTAGTTTTAAGTATAGCTAAAATAACTAATGTGATTTCAGGCATTACTGTCAATCAGTTGGCAAATGTTTTCCGTGAACTGCAAAATCGTATTACCCTTTGTAGTGCTAATGATGGAGGACATGTGGAAACTTAAATAAAATTTCAATAAAACCTTAAAAAAAATATAGATTTACTTCTTTCTAATCCTTCTTACATTTTATTTCTATCGTAAATATAAATAGTTATAAATTTTTTAAAGTGCACACAAACTTTATGGACGCCTGTATATATTGAGATGGTCACGTGAATAGAAATCAATTGAGATTGAGACACAGAGAAATATGAGTAATAAGGCCAATAATACAGGTCTGTAAATTAAGTTTCAATTATTGTTTCAAATCTGAATCATGATTTATTTCTGATCTTATGGATACAATAAAACACATTTAGAATGTTTTAATCATATTACATTTACCCTTGAATAGGGTTTTCTTTCAAAGTTCGTATGGAAGAAACGATAGTTTTCATTCTTCTGCATTTTCTGTATGCGATAATTTACATCAAAGCAATAAACCGAAGGTTGATATATGATTCAAAATATTTTTCTCGATTTCCGTACCAAGATAAAAATATTCTTGAATTTTTTTTTTAGTTTAGATCCCAAAAAAATCTGCAGTGTCTTTGGGGAGATGAACTTAATGATTTAATCTTTCACTTAATGATTTAATCTTTCACTTAATCATTTAATCTTTCACTTAGTGATTTAATCTTTCACTTAATCATTATGTTCATCCCGAGAGAACGGCTGCGAGACACTGGATTGACGTTTTGTGACAAATTGTTTTCTAGAGTATTTTTCTACAAATTCACGATTAACTGATTGGTTAGGAATTCGTACATCAGATCCATGAGGTACAAATATTATTTGCTGTTGGAAGATGCAAATAAGCATCTTCTATCTGATTATATTTGTTTTATCCTTGAAAACTCGTACTATGACTTTTTGCTCTGTCTATATCATTGAAATTCTAAAAGAGAGATATTTCTCTTTGCCTTTTATCCATTATCTTAATTCCATTACAAAAATCGAGGAAACACTGAGGAACTTACGTTTCCCTGCTGTCCAAACTTCATTCCAAAATAAGCATAGTATAATTTGTTCCGTGTTTTGAATTTTATTTTTCCTCAAATGTAGCAGAAACGAATACGACTATTTACACAATAT